AGCCGGAATAGCGGGGTCGCCGTGACTCGGGGCCATTGTGTTTATGCGCTAGTTTATTTTGGGGGGATTATTGCCATAATCGCTACGCTTGGCAGGCGGGTTGGCGATCGCAGTAGATGTAATGTTACTCAGGAGAACACTGCTGCCCGTTCTCCAGATGTTCCCTTAGTCGCCTTTTACGACACCCACGGGAAGAGATGGAGAGGTGCAATATTCTATGCCGGCACCCCACGGCCTGGTACATCATTAAAAGCCTATAATGGTCAATATGCCTTTAACTGTGTAGTTATATCGTTTTCGCAAATATGTATGAGTGCTCATAGTACAAACATACCTACCTTCACCTTACCGCAAGCTTTTTTGAGCAATAAGGTATATTTTATATACGAGGGGAGGTCCAAAAGATTTCCGCAAACTTTTGGAACTCCCCTAGTTCCCTCGAAATTCAATAAACATTTATTATTTATTATTATTATTATAAACAATATTTGAATGATAAAACCGCCTGATCGTTATTATTGTAACCTTCAGAATATTTTCAAAGTTAAATTAAACTTGTCGCCTTAAGAGGAGTATTGAAGAGAACCTTAGTGTCTTTTTTAAACTTGCTCATGTGTCTTGAAAATTCTTTACTGGATATTTCGGGTCTTTTGTGTGTTTATAAGTTTCATGTCAGCTTTCAATTTGACGACACTGTATGGAATAATACAAGGAGAAAAAAGCAACCCTTGCTGAGTGTTTTGCCGGTTTTTCTCAGTACTAGGTCTCCCGCCGTAGACTTGAGAACCGAGGGCGTAGCTTTCAACTTTAACATGTTCTTGTAAAAGCCTAAACTGAATGAATGAATATTGATTTTTTTTATTGAAGTTATACTTCTTTAGGCGCGTTATGAAAAAATGATGAGAGTGAAATTTTAAGATGCGCGCGCATCACTGTAACACAAAATTTTAACAGCATGAAGTTGGTCGCTAAAGCGACGTTACTTTTGTGTTTACCGCACATTAAGAAAATCTACCAACAAAATAGAAATAGAATCTCTATTTAGTGGGTGCTAACGACTGCATTGTGAAGGCCTATCAAAAGTATTTATTAATCTGGAACAACAGAACCAAAGCGCGATTCAGGAGACTACAGCGCCATCTCTTGACCATTGGTGTAGTAGAACCAAAAACCGCATCTTTATTTTTTGTAATAAAGTAACAGTTATAGGTATTCATATTTACAATATCAAAAGTATTTATTAATCTGGAACAACGGAACCAAAGCGCGATTCAGGAGACTACAGCGCCATCTCTTGACCATTGGTGTAGTAGAACCAAAAACCACATCTTTATTAAATAAATAAATTATATTCAGTAGCGATTTTAATTGAATATTTTGATTATTTATTTATTTTTTCAAATTAAAACTGAACTTTATTGACTGTGTCCTTTTCCAGACTTTTTATTAATTTATTGTAATTAATTATTTGCATGCAATTAAAAACTAATTTTAAACGATGCCAAAGAAGGATAACTTCTCACGCGCCTACATAAGTACACGCACCCATTCGATAGTTGGTGGAGTAGGCCCATCAGAATCCGAGGCCGCGTCGAGATGCAGCCAGGGAGGTCGAATGGGTGGGAAAGACAGGGAGAGGAGAGGACGGTTTAATAATAATGAGAGGCGCAAGGAAGAGGAGAGGAAACGAAACGAAACATAAATTAAATAAAAGGTTTAAAGGATGGGAGTAAGAGTGTAAGGGAATAGGTTTAACAAGCTTTCAAGAAATACAGCCGTTGACGAAATACTATTTAGCTTATAACTTCTTTTTAGTTCACAGCTCAAAGTAGATGGGTCAATTTACCGCTGTACTATAAAGTAAAAAGGCGTTCATAATAAAACAATAGCTTCATAACATTGTGTATATTTTTGGTACTATACACATATTCACAACATTCATCCTTTGGGATTTGGACATACAAATACTACCTAAGTACCTATTTACTTATTAACAAGAACACCTTATTCACACACATTCAATTGTGACCGCTTATTTATACTTCTAACAAATTAGGTACATTGATTTGTTGTTTTTAACAAAGTTTGTAACTTAAATTAAAAGAAGGTAGATAAAATAGTAGTTAACTACCTATTATTACTAACTTCATTCGATGGTTCCGGACAAAGATAAAAAAATATTATTAAATGCCTTGTATAATGGTTCTCTTTATTTAATTTAATATTTGCTATGCTGGCGAAACTGAACGAAAAGATTTTTTTTGTTGAATTGATTCTTTGGAACAACGATATCGATCGGAATTCTGATACATTCGTAAGATTCCTTTTTCGTCAGATTAAATCATAGTCGGTTTTCTTTCTGACAAATAAGTAATTCCTCTATTGACAGAAAAATGGATGCGTGTAACTTATGTACGCGCGTGGGAAGTTATACTTCTTTAACATCATTAAAATATTTTTTAATTGCATGCAAATAATTAATAATTACAATAAAATAATAAGAGGACTGGAAAAGGATAGTTAACACAGTCAATTAAGTTCAGTTTTAATTTGAAAAATTAAAAAAATATTCAAAATATTCAATTAAAATCACTACTGAATTTAAGTTATTAGTCCATATGTAATTAGCACATTCATTTCATTTCATTCCATTTCATTCCATTTCATTCCATTGCATTCCATTTCATTCCATTTCATTCCATTTCATTCCATTTCATTCCATTTCATTCCATTTCATTCCATTTCATTCCATTTCATTCCATTTCATTTCATTTCATTTCAATGTCCCGTTCAAATCTGCCCTGTTTGCTTTGTTCAAATCTGCCCCACGGTCACTTGGAAAATAAAATATTACAAATAACGCGCCCGCGCCTAACTTCATTATGTTAAAATTTTGTGTTACAGTGATGAAAATTTCACTCTCATAAATTTTTCATAACGCAGCTAAAGAAGTATAACTTCAAAAAAAACTGAAGTGTTTTTTTAAAATATTTATTTATTACCAATTACTTACAAGTGGCCCGCCCTCGCTTCGCAAGGGTGGTGCTGCAGTGTAGACTATAGTTTTTTGATGTGTAACATCTTTCCGCTCGCTTTCCTGCAATTTGTGGGAGTGATTTTGTGAAATGGGACGGAAGTTTGTAACAGGAAATCGCGAAAGCGCGCGCTTTGATTTGATTTTAAAACATAATGGCTTATTCCTTTTGTAGTAGGTTTTCTTTCTTTTTTTACTAATATAAGGTGAGGTTTCAAATGTTACACATCATACGCGACTACTGTAAGGCTCGCTCGTTTTTTTTGTTCTCAGGCTTGTATTATACACAATGCCTATTAAACCTTCTATGAAAATTTATTTTTCATTTCTCATTCTCGGAAAGTGATGTTGTTTTGATCTGTTTGTTGGGTGGAAAATGCTGCTTCCCTCCCTAGAGAGGAAAAAACTCATACAAACTTCTTCGAACTTTAAAAATAGAACTACTCTCAGGTGTGAGGAGTTAATTGTAAAATAAAAATGCTGCGGCGATGTAAGTTTCTAAACAGCCAGTGTGAACTTAGCACAAACTTCTTTGAGCGGAATAAGCCGCAACAATTACGCTGTTCCATATTTAAATTTAAAAAGTCGACATACATTGGCTGGATACTAAACTGTTATGTATCTGTGACGGAATAAAAAAAAAAAATAATCTTTTAAGTAAAACAGAGCAATCCAACTTTGAATATTAAAAATGAGTTCAAGCGATTCAGAAATGTTGACACCGGATTAACTGAAATATTAACTTACTGAAACTATTAAAATACCCAATTCGCCTCAGCCGACAACTTCCAGGGAGTATCCGCCATGGAATCCATCGTTTGATGAAATAACAGAGTCTCCTACTTTTACAGATATTCAAAACAGCCAAATTTATAATAGTATATCAAACAGCATAAACATTCCAAACAAGAATGTAACTTTTAATTTCACTAATTGTCCTAATATGGCAATTAATTTTAAATAGCTTTAATATTTTTGAACAACAACTAGTTTTATTTTCCTCATATTCGAAATGAAAAGTAGAGTCTTTAACTCGGGTAAAAGAATCAATTCCTACTCAGACTATAGTCTAAATACCTCGGTAATTGATTCTTTTCACCCTCGGTTAACAATCTACTATAACTGATAGTGAAAATATTGTTGCGTAGTTTAGGACCCGTTTTACCGAATGCACCATATTTTTGGTTGAACGCGCAAATCTCAGGAACTAATGGTCAGATTTGAAAAAATCTTGTATTTATTGAGGAAGGCTTAATAAGGCTATATAATATAACGCTGCGGCAGTAGGACTGGAGTATCGATGTAAAATGTTGCAAACACGGGTAAAAATATTCCATTTGGGAGAGTCCGTTGCATGCGCTGCTTAAACGATTAAAATTATACAAAAATCATGTATGACGGAATTGTTCCCCTTTAAAATTTCTATAAAAAAGTCGAGCATAGTATATGCCCATCTTTTAAGTTTGACTCACTATAATGTTTTTCCTCAAATTAACGCGGGTGAAACCGCAGGGGACCTTTAGCTGTGACATAACTGTAATAGTTGGACATATGATATCTCGGACTTTTTTGTAGATATTTATGTCCTCTGTAAAACTTTAGTACATCACTTTGCTCTATTGTCAATGACTTCCGTAAGCGATATAAGGTTATTTTTTGGTATTTTTTCACACCCTTGGTTTCGTTATCAAAATTTTTATACGGAACCCTAACTTTCTTGAAATACTCTATAGCCTGTTTATTAGGGATAATATATATACTTATAAAAATCAATTAGCTTAATCTAATGATAATGTGTTAATTTTAATAACCGTTGCAGAAAGTCATAAATTTATATTTACCCTTCAATGCAGCTTCTCACTATTTCTTTTCGTGTTCCCTTAACCCTTAATAGTACAGTGGAAGATCATTTTTATGATTTTTATTTTTTAAGCATGTAACTGCTTGATGTTTAAATCTAAAGAAAAATATAATAGACAGTGTTTTCTTTTTTTCTTTAGATTTAAACATCAAGCAGTTACATGCTTAAAAAATAAAAATTATAACTATAACTGCTGTTTCTTCTTTCAAATGTTTAATACTTGTAAAAGTATTCATTTGACATTGTGGGTTGTCTACAATGCGAAGAGATGGCGCTGCCTTGCAGCTTAAGAATGGCTAGAAGAATTTTGAGGCGCGGTAGCAGAATTGGTCAATGCATTTGCCCGGATAGCGAAGGGTTTGAGTCCCGTCTGCTGCCTGGTCCGCGTGGATTTTTTTCTAGTTATATTTCTTTAGATTTAAAGATCATTTTTCTCAAATCAAGATAACAGCCAATAAATGAAGTAATTTTTCACATAAGTTTTAGTGTGAAGCCGGATAACGGATCACTGAGTGATCACGGTATATAGCGCTGAAATGGTGGTCAAGAATTTTTTCAAGTATCCCTTCTGTTATGGATGGAACTGCTGTACCAAGGCAACAGAACTAACTACAAAGGAGATTAATCTTATTGTACCCAATGGCGATTTATCGTCCAAAAAAAAACGGCCAGCCTAAATCTAAGATTCCGCTTTTGTTAGAAAAAAACATCCTATATTCTGACGAAAGCGGAATCTGATCGAAACTCCGTTTTCCACAGAAAAAAAACGGGCGATAATTAAACAGAGGAAAAAATAATCTGACAATTGTGTCTGAATTAATCGATCGATATCATTGCTTTGGAACAAAACTGCATGTGTCCAAAGAATTAATAAAAAGTCATTAAGTTATTTAGTTAAGTTGTTTATCATTTTCAATTAATTTTCGTTTTATGTTGAGTTGTTGAAACTTTAGAATTATTGTTAATTTTGTGTATTAAAATATAATAATTTATAATTTTAAAAATAATATAGAGTTTTAAGCATTTAACTGCTAGATGTTTAAAATTCCGGTCCAGGTTTCCACCCTAATAAGAAGTCGCATATTGTGCCTTCATTTTGTAAGATAAAGGAAAATATAACTCATTTAAATACGAAGTAGGTGAGCAGACTTGCATTTTACCTATCTTTAAGGCCAGTCTTTAGCTGATGTTTTAAAAATATAGGTACCTAAGTACTTATACAAGTTCGGGTACCTTCATAATGTCGGTAATTCATAATGATGTAAGTAATTGCACTGATTTCTTATTAGTTAATATAGGTACAATTTAACTTTTAGGTCTACTTATTAAATGCAATAATATAAATATTAAATACATATTCACATTTTAGTTTCAAAAATATAATAAATGAACTATTCATATATTCTAATAAATCTAACAGTTTATTATGGAAAAACCTGCATGTCTCTTATTAGTTACCTATCTACCTGTTAATTAAATTTTTATCAATTATCATGCCTACTTATTTAAAGCGCTTGTTTAGAGTATAGTAACAGTTCTTGATGGTATACATATTATAGCAAACAGTAATAAATAACTATATCCTGTGATTAATTTTGGTGGTACAACAATAAGCCACTAAATTTTAAATAATAATTAACATACATACAATTAAATACTTAGTTAAACTGCTATTTAACATATGTATATGTACGAGAATAACAATATATGCATTTACATTTCACTATAATCCTATTAGGTACATCTTTAGTTTTTGGTATATGGCACAAATATTATAAACAAAAAACATTTACAATTAACTACTGTGCGGTGCGGCCACTAACGGCGTTCCACAACTTTTAAGTTTCTCTTATATTAATCATTTCATTTTAGCGTAAACATATTTTGTCTTATAAAAACTATATGACTGTTTAAAATCCAGCGTGTCAGCTAAGGTTTACTTTAAGAAGAAACATATCATATCACACAAAAGTACAATACAATTATTGAGTATTCATCACCTTCTCGAACGATCGATATTGCGTAGGTTAACAATCGAACTGCCCACCGGTACCTCGCGCTTGCAACTTGAAGACGTCGGTAGGCGCAGCATGGGGCACGTACTCAGACGCCTTCACCACCCGTCAGGTGAATTCGTCATCGTCTTCGTCATCGCTGCTATCAGACTCGGACTCTTGTTCCGGATCGGGTAAAGGAGCTAGGTAGTCTACGGTGGGTCGTTGCGCCGGTATCAAATATCCAGCAGAATCTTGCGAAGGCGGCGGTGGACGCGGTAATCTCACCGGCACGCCCGCACCCTCCGCTACCTCCAACTTCCTGCAAATCTCGTCGAACCCTATCCTGTCCCGCGGATCTGTCCTCCAACAAGCGCGCATCAACTCGCAAGCAAAACGCGGACAGTCTTCCGGCGGCACTAACACTATACCTTGGAGTATTAGCTTCGTCGCACCATCATTATTGTGCCCGTAGAAAGGCTGCTTGCCGCGACTATATATCTCCCATAGCACGACACCGTATGACCATACGTCGGATTCGTGGGTGAAGCGAGCGTAGACTATGCTCTCTGGGGACATCCAACGGACGGGCATGGGGCGTTCCCCACCCATTTTGTAGTAGTCGCATGTGTAGACGTCGCGAGACATTCCGAAGTCAGCTATCTTGACGGCCAGGTTGGCGCCGACTAGGCAGTTGCGGGCAGCCAAGTCTCTGTGGACGAAGCGGCGGGAAGCAAGGTATTGCATCCCGCGAGCTACTTGCAGCGCGACGTGAAGAAGCGCAGGGTCGTCCAAGTGTGGCCCAGGGCGACCTCCTCCTTTGGAACCCCGTAGGACTCCTGCCAAGTCCCCCCATTCCATATACTCGAACACCATCCAGGGACTAGCTCCTATATCATCTGGGAACAGTAAACATTTTTGTAAACAAACAATAAAACCGACTTAAAGAGTAAAAAATAATATCTGGTTCATGATTTGGAAATCAGCCGGGGTTAAGATTGAAAGACGTATTATTACCGATCAGAAATGAAAATCTATTTCATGTTTTAATCTTGGCCCCGCCCTACTTCCAAAAATTCCAAATCATGAACCAAATACTAGTATTTACTTATTAGTTCCATTTTCAATTAAGAGTCGTTTTTATTTTTTGTTTAATAAGTATATTTTTTTATTTAGTGAAAATAACATCGTCCAAGAAAACAATAAACAAAAATGTTCATAAAATAAAAACTACCTACAGGGTTAAACTAACTATTTTTTATGGAACCAAAGTGCAAGTCCCATTGAACAAAAGAAAAATCATACAAATCGGTGTACGTACATAAAAAAAAGCATTCCGACCGAACTGAGAACCTTCTCCTTTTCGAAGTCGGTTAAAAAACATGGACTTAAATGACCCAAAACGAAAAATGTGAAAAACTACCAGAGCTAAAAAATCAGATAACTAGGTAGTCAATCTTGTTTTACACTTCATAATAAGATCGGTAAAGTTTATCAGGTTCTACTTATGTTTTTTTTTATTTTTCAAACATTTAACTGCTAGATGTTTAAATCTAAAGAAAAGATTACTAGAAAAAGAGTTCTACTTACTTCTGTAGACTACACCGACTAGCGTGAGGATATTGGGGTGGCGAAAGGCTGACATTATTGACACCTCTCGTACAAAATCTTCTTCTGCGCTTCTGCCTGCGCTCTCTTTTAAAACCTTAATAGCTACTACCGATTCCCCGCTATTAGCTCTGAGAAGACCTGAAAAAGAACACATTTTCTGAACTTTTATTCCGGATTTTTTAGCCATTTGAAAGAGGATTCATGTGCAACAGAATACATTTATGATTTAATAGAAGATTTATTTATTTTTGTTGTAAGTACATAACAAGTGCTTCTAAAAAATATGAAACACTGGTGGCCCGCCTTCCCTTCGCTTCCGTGTAGAGCTGTAGTGTAGGTAGACTATAGTTTTTGTTCTCAGGCTTGTATTATACACAATGAAATGCTGTATATAATTATTTTTCTCACCTTTTAAACCTTTCAAGACGAACGAACATTTCAAGACCAAGATAAGATAAATCCGTTCAGCCGTTCTCGAGTTTTAGCGAGACTAACGAATAGCAATTGATTTTTATACCCACCCTACAAAATACCAACACAGTAATAATATTCATGTCTGAATCAAAAATAACCAACCTAGACTACTAAGATTTGATTATATGTATCAGAAGTATCACAAGTGTTATTCTATCTACCGTTTGTTTTACACCTTGATGTTGTTGTAGGAGATTATGCTCATTGTACCTAATTGTATCATGAACAAATCAAACTCTCATACGATACGTAACGAAAAGGAATTCAATGTCATTTAATTAAGAGTATATAATACTTGTTTAACTTTCGAACTGCAACAATAAAGAAATTGTACTGAAAAAAAGTAAATCTAATATATATTATAATGATAAAAACAGTTAGCTATTTAAATTTAATGGCGGTTGTTAAGTAAACAGGGCGCGCAAGTTTCAGTTCACTGAACATTCTCGTAGTTTATTATATATCGTAATAGGATGATTTGATAAATGGAATTTTCACGAAAATCCTAGGGATTTTCTGAAAACGCGGAGAAAAAGAAAATCTCGATTTCCCAATCTTATTAAAAAGGATAGTATATTTGTGAAACGCCTCAGTAAGATAGCGAAAATAATCGTTGGCTTATTAATAATATTCCTAGTTTTTTTGGGTTCTTGGTTTTACATTAGGTTAAGTTAGTATAGTCAAAAAAAATGTAAATGGTAGGTATGACTGAGCAATGATATCGCCACTGTCTAATTAGCCGAGTTCTCACAAATGCCTTATATTATAGCTATTAACGGCGTTACTCCGTGATCATGGCGCATGCAACAATGCCGAAATATCGGAGACTAATAAAAAACAAGGTACATTGTAACAATCCCGTTAATAGCTATAATGTTAGTGACCATGAAAGTTTGAAATAATATGCCTAGTATTTTCGCAAAAAATCAGATTATCTATTAATTAAATCATCATTTTTTGGTGAAACTCCGAACTACATTTCGTTTACTGTGCGCACGACTCGCGCTAACTTCACAGCCGCCATTCTGTTTAAGTAAAATATAACCCATTGTTTGTTGTTCTCGAGTAAAGAAAAGCGGAGTAACATAAAGAGGTTCGTACCTATTTTCTCTAATTCTCAACTCAGAATTATGACCTTTTTTTTCTAAGTGTTGCCGCACACGGGCTACCGACCACAACCACAAAACGCCGCCACCGGCATATTTCTTGTAGTTTTCATACATTTTATATGGACTCGCCACACACGGCACGACGCGACGGTGGCCGCCACACGCTACAAATCGTCGTTGCTCGCTTCTTGTGGCCTGCACCGGCCATTTAATGCGCCGATACAAAACGCCGCCACATGTCACTCGCGCGAGGGGAGGGGCCCTCTCTCCCTTACCTTGGTCGGCAGCTGTCACGCGCTTCAGCCACTTCTAGCTTCTCGTGGCGGCGTTTGTGGCTGTGGCGTGGCCCTTGTGCGGCGACACTAACTATCATATTCGAAACTCGGAATTCGTTTCTGAGTTTGTTGATTTAAATAGAAATATTGATGTTTTACGAAACCACGATGCAAGTGAAACTTTTAATATCATTAATAATATAAAAGTCTTTCGTCGGATGGGATTCGAACCCAGGCCGCCCGCCTAACAACTTTCTACCGCTGAATTACCGATGCTGCAATGTGGATGAAATCTGACTTTATTAATACCAATTTAAAATGTAATGCTACATGCTAATGATGAACGAAAAAATTGTGGCAGTGCAATAAAAGTTTCATTGTAACAATATTGTAAAGAAACGTACTATGAGTATTTTGTGAGCTAACCTTAATGAACTAAGTCAATCATAACTGAAGACAGACCTAGTCCGGTCTAATATGGGACTAGTCCAGCCTGTGACCTTATGGGTTATAGCCCTAGCTTGATTATTGTTGTCACAGTATCATGGTTCATTATTAATTTTTGTTTACATAATTTCAAGTAGTCGGGCCTGCCTGGGACTGGTCTTAGGCAGCCTAGCTCGTTGATTTTTTTCGTGTCCTGTTCTGGTGTTGTATTAGGTCCTTACATATGAAATTAGCGTTTTGTCGTACTGACCACTTTGATCTGAAATATATCCTCTTTCGTTAAGAATTACTAATTCAAAGGACAATGTTAAAATTGGCCTAAGAACCAACACCAATTTGGCATTTATGATAATTCTTACTATACTTTTTGCGATAATTATCAGTCTTTACATTGTGACGGACACTTCCAGTTAAGTAAGCTAAATTAAAAAGTTACAAAAATAATCTAAGACAATAAATACCATTTTATGTGTATAAAACACAGCGCTGCAAACAAAACACTCTTTCTTCCTAATGCTGACTCTTCACTTGGCTATTCGTACTTGCTATTTTAAAACATGACATCAGTCTGTCCTTTTCATTCCTTACTAAGCATGACAAGGAAAAACTGTTGTCAAGTGAAGGGCCGGCATAAAACTCAATACTCTGTGGTTGTGGTGCAGGCAGTTTGCATTCGTAGTAATCTTTGGCATTCGTGCATTCCAACGAGTAGTTTAATATGCCGGAAAGTGCATTCTCGTTTCGGATTACCTGTTGTAATAAACACATTATTTGCGATTGTTTTTCCTTTAATTTAACTATTTCGGTATTTTCTATCTAATATGCCATCGATGTTACCAAAGAGCAGAGACCTTATAACCAAATGATAGTGAACCTGTGCCACAACATCCTGAGAGGATCATACTGCCAAATTATTCAAGAGCACCTGATACACATTCACGCTGCATATTTACACAATATACATATGATATACAAATAAATACAATATACAATATGATACAATTATGTGAAAAATAGTCAATAAATAAGAAGCAAAACTACAGTTTTTATTTTATTCATGATTCCTACCTAACCAAGTTTTTCCTACTAGTTATTCTTTAAATTAGCTATTCAGTAATATTAATTCACTTTATTCATACTTAGTTCATAGGTTGACCTATGTTTCATTGAATATTAAACATAACCTCAAAAATATTTTAGTTTTCCTAATAATTTAAGTTCTCAGAAGTGTCCGTCAATAATCTTTGTTTTTACAGTCATTTACTTGCGATTTCGAACCTAAAAAATAATATTTCATGATTGTTGGTTCTTAGGCTAACACTAACTACTAACATACTATGTATGGACGCAGAACAATGTCCTTTATAAATTCATTTAGCTGGTACATTTAAGTTTTGAAAACAGTCATTCATTTGTTTTTTTCCTCATTATTTTTTTTTGACGTCACTTATTACCGCACAATGGAAAACATGAAATAGCGGTATATTTACCAGTATGAGTTCTACCGTGGCACCAGTGCTGCAGTAACAGCTCAAAGAAATAATGATGTGCACGGGGCTGGAGTAATAAAATAAAGCACGTTACGTTTTTGGTTTCAATGTTTTCGTTCTGGAAATTTCGACCTTCAGAACCAACCCCGTGGACGGCCGGAGACCAAAGTGGAAAATGAAGATTTAAAAGCAATTGTGGAAGCTGATCCATCACTAAGCACTTTAGAGATAGCTGCAAGCTTCGAGGTAAGTGAGAAAACTGTATTAATCCACTTGAAGCAAATCGGGAAAGTAAAAAAACTTGAACGATGGGTAGGTACCTCATGAAATGAGTGAATCGAACTTGCAAACACGCGTCGTGCTGTGTTACTTTGCTCAACCGACACAATAATGAAGGGATTTTAACTCGAATCATTACTTGTTATGAAAAGTGGATATTGTACGATAATCGGAAGTGCTCGTAACAATGGCTGAACCCTGGAGACCCAATCAAACCCTACCCTAAACGAATATTGACTCAAAAAAAGTTACTTGTGAGTGTTTTGTAGACTAGCGCCGGTGTCGTTCACTACAGCTTTCTAAAATCTTGTCAAACGATGATGGCAGATATCTATTGTCAGCAATTGCAAACCATGAAGGAAGAACTAGCTGCTAAACAACCGAGATTAGTTAATCGCTCTAGGCCACTGCCGCTTCACGACAACACAAGACCACACATTTCACAACAAACAATTACTAAGTTAGATGAGCTACAATTGGAATTTCTGCGACATCCACCGTACTCCCGGACCTTGTTTGAAAAAACGGTAACCAACAGATTACCGTTTTTCCGGAATTAGGACAATATTTTCATGCAAAAAATTTAACTCCGATGCGGCAGTCCAAACCGCCTTCAAAGATTTTATTGATTCTCGCCCCCCATGGTTTTTTAAGTAAAGGGATTAATGAACTACCTATGAGATGGCAAAAGTGCATAGATAATAACAACTGTGCATACTTTGATTAATTAAATATATTTTTCAAAAAAAAAAATCTATACATTCCTCCCGTACAAAACGCCAATTTCATATGTAAGGACCTAATATGTAATATGATGTCATCTATTAATTATGATACATTGCGTAATAGGTATATGTGTGAATGTGCTGTATAATTTCAAGCCTTAGTGTCCATATGTTTGTATTCTCGCTTGTGGTTTTCCTTTCTTTTCTATTCATCTCCTCCCGTGTTTCTTCGTTCTGTCTCTGTATCGTCCCTACTCTTACTCTTCTATTATGAAACCCATGCATCTCCCACGGCGGCATCAAAGGCCACCTCGAGGACTCATTGGGTTGCGTACCCAATGATAAATAACAACAATAATACAAATACAACAAAAAGTTAATTAAAAAAAAACAATAAAATACGGACAAAAAAGTTAAACAAAAAAAAACCTTTATGAACTTTGCCGAAGCATCCTTCTCCCACCTCCTCGAGGAAGGTGAGCGCATTGCGGTCCAACAGCGGCACCTGTTCCCCGGTCTCATCATCCGCTACTACAGCCACTGACTGCCCCGCGCTGTATACTCCGTACTGAGGATTGCTTATGTACCGCTCCGCTAGTAGGGGCTCCCCTGGCCGACGCTAGAACGAAATTGGGAAATGTTACAGACACCATACATACTTTGATTGTTCAGGACCCATTCACTCACTTTCTATTAGATAGCTCAACATTTTACATGCCAGTGAAATTAAATTTTCGTGATTGAGAAGTAACATAAAAAAGAGGAACCAAGCCAGTCAGCGGAGCCAAAGAGTAAAAGAGATTATAGAAATTCGAGAAACTTCACTAAATTTTAAAAAGTGAAGTAAATATAGGTACATTGTAATAGTAGGTATATTGCCTGAATAAAATGATGTTACAGTTTTCATTTGTTTGATGTTATGACATAAAACAAATCAAAAGAAATTACTGTTGTATATAATTATATACAACAGTAATTTGTGAACAAAACTGAGTGGGATGACAAAGGTAAAACATGCAATGAATTTTAACGAGATACGCGGACACGATTCTCTAGTGCGGGACGTCATGTTATTATTAGTTGGGAATGGGACGTATGTAATAGCAAATACTTAGGAGGAGAACGTAAAATAAAATAAACTTACATTTAATGAAGAGAAATCAGCAAATTCCGATGTCCTTCATTAACCCATTTCAGTAAATTAGGTACATTGCGGTTAAGTTATCGAAACCTTTTATCTTTAAATTTATAAATCTTACTAAAAGTGCAAAAACTATTAACAAAATAAAAATGTACCTATTAAGTAAGCTGTCATTAAATGATTGATTGTAAGCAGTGCTTGGACTGCAACGAAGAGGGAAAAATAAAATAAATATAATAAGTGCAAACTAAATTTATTAATAAATAGAGAAAGATTTACAACAATAAATAATAATAACACAGTGCTAGAGTCAGAAATAAGCAGACAGAAAGAGAGAGAATTAGTAGCATAAAAGACCGTAATCTACTCGATACGCGCGTTTTGCGTTACTCTATGCTATATAAAGAAAGCTTTTTTTATTACATTATATGACCGAAACTCTACAAAACGATAAAAAAAAAGCTACGGATAAATGCGATGTATAAACTTAAACTATGATCGTACCGGTTGTGTTTTGCCGTCTACGCTCCGTAGCCGTCTTCTGAGGTAGAATAGTACGACTACGATGATAAGTGTTACTAGCGCTACGCCGCCGATAGTGACAGTGGCCAGCAGGACACCAGCACCGTTGACGCCGGAGCCGGCGCTGGCGCTATCGCTGCTCGTGCTCTTTCCGGGTGCAGCTCGGATTATCAACGACTTGGACATCTGGAAGTAAATCATCATCATCTTATTAATGTCCTCATCGCTCGGACACATTTGTGTTTCCTATGGATGGAATAGGAAGATGGAGCCATGCCCCACTACGCGGAACCAGTGTGAATTGGTGGGTGGTAACGACTGCAGATACAGCCGGAACTAACGGCTTAATATACCTTCCGAACCACGGAGGAGCTCGAGATGGTCCAATTTTGGTCATCCACCCACCTTATGACCCGTGTCTTGCTTCTATTATAGTGCAAGTAGCTAAAGTTCTTAGCTTTTAGAAAACCTTACCGGCTATCCGAAGCATGCTGCATAGGCAAAGTTTTTTGGAATAACACCTTTATGCTCGCCTAAGTGCAAGAGTTTTAGCAGATAATTTTGTTATTTAGGAGCATTATACACATACATTTATATTCAGTTGTAGGTATATCCTGTGCGGGTGTGGCTGAGCATTTAATGTGCAGCAAAGCTACAGCGTTTTTTGTTTCATGGTTATACATGTTTGATGAATCGTAAGTTTTGTTGTATTGATTGATCCTGTGAGTGACTGATGGTTGGGAGCCAGATTAAATTCTATAGAAATCCAATTTACCAAATGGTCCATCCAATCACACAGCTACAGTTTGCGTCCACAATAATTTTATTTAGATAACGAGATATTAGGTCAGAAATTTTCTATTATCTTAACCTAACAAATCTATATTCACCGTTATAGTTTTCCTTAAAAGTTCATGAAAAGCTCTAATATCATGAAATTTTTAGAGGGGGGGGGGGGGGGGGGGGGCGCACTACACGAACCTAAATTAGCACTTTAAAGTTCAATATAACGGATCCATAAATCGAAAAATAGTCTTAGGAATCCCTTTGTTATTTTAAAGAACCTATTTAACGATACCCCACGCCAATGGGTAGACGAAAAAATAAAATCACGTTACATGTAGGGGAGCTACCGTATAAAAATATCGCCAAGCAAAACCGGGGACGGACAGACAGACGGACATGACAAAACTATAAGGGTTCCTTGTCAGGATTACGGAACCCTAGAAACAGCGTCGACTTGGTCCCTAATATTTATTGATAAAATCGAACTGAAAACATTAGATAAAAGAGCCAATATGTCTACCTACTCGTAGTCACATATAATAGATAGTACTATGTGATGATAAAAGCTCACAACAATGTGGACACTCAAATTCGGTTTAACATGACAACAGCGTTATCACAATCAATCTAACATGAATATTTATCAGTTTATGGAAAAAATCTGATTCGGTAATAGACTTACCGCGTTTTGTCGAAGATTGAAAGTATGAAAAACAAGTCCGTTATCACAGCCAGCTTAATGAAATTTCTAACTAACCAAAAAGTATATCGGTGAGTATAAATAAAATACTCTTAGGCATACTACTACTTGGGTTGTGACAAGGTTGTGATATTTTCTTAAGTTGTTATTGTATTATTATATTTCTATTTTCGGGCTTAGTAAACCCACCTACATTATAACCCTAAATTTTCACCTTTTTTCCACCATATTTTTATGGCGATACGAAGTTCGCTGGCTCAGCTAGTTTAATATAATAAATACATGTTAAGTAACTAAGTAACGGGAAGCCACTGGATGCGGGCAGCGCAGAACCGATCGGTTTGGAATTCCATGGGGGAGGCCTATGTTCGGCAGTGAGCGTCACTCGGTTGACATGATGATGATCATGAATAAAGTTAAAAAAAAATGGAAATTTAAGTACAGACAGGTAGGTACATAACATACGTCATCAATATAAAGGTTTCATAGCTAAAAAAACATCCAAAAATACTCGGTAGTCAGGGAGATCATGACAAGCATAGTCGTAGAACAAAACAAACAGTTACGTACGCAGGTAGTGATAAGAGCTGTCGGGTAATGATGACGGATAGTAGGATAGTTACCTCATCGGACGGCGCTCGGCTCTCGGCGGAAGTGTTGGACGTCGTCGGTGGTATGATGTTGTGTATCGGCATTGGCGTCACGGGCACTGTGAACAAATCGATATTTTTAGAACCTCCACTGTGCGAGGGCCCGATTTAACATGTACCCATGTACGCCGTAACCAGGGCCTGATTAAGGCTCGTATTACAGAATGACAACTAAGTGTTGATCTTTACTTGAGTACAGTTTGAAAGGGATGTCGCTTGTATAGCACATACAAGTTAAGACCAACAATTAGTTGTCATTCTGTAATACGAGCTTTATAGTACTGACCGCCCTAGACTAACTATGAATATGCGCCCCCTGCCTGCCCTGTCCTACCTTTTCATTCATTTACAGGTGCAACTAATGAAAATACAATTAAAGAAGGGAGCTTAAGTTAACTAAAATATTTTTTCGGACATTTCGAAACAAGACGAAACCCATATCAAAAGGAAGAGAACACATTAAAAATAAGAGGAAAAATAAATTACGCCATTTGAGGTCGGGAAGGGTATACGTTCCAAGGGGGGAAACGGTTTAAAATCACAATTCTCAGGAAAAGTACATCTATCGAAAAAAAAACAAAGGCAAAGGACATGGCTAAGAAACTGCCCTTAATGTGTATAAATATTTCGCACTAGCCCAACTTTACAATATTTTTTTATTAATTATTACGTGTTTATTATTCACATCGAACTTTCGTGAAATAATTACATATTAAAAAGTATAAATATTGACTTCATGTCTGTTTCAAAAGCAAAATGTTCCAGTTTACAAAATAAATGAACAATAAATGTACACAAAAAATATTTGTGTAAGTATATCTAAATAAACAATATTATTTCTAAACTCCTTTAAACCATGACATATTTGGCCCTAATTTTATTATAACAAGTGACTGAAGAGCTTAGATAATAGTATTTAATATTCTGATGAGGCTTGAGACAAGGCTGTATGATAATTAATCCTTTAATTTTTGCAAATGGACAAAATAAAACTTCACAGATTTCCTGTCAGGCCGACAGTATTTATTTTTGCTTTAGAAAACTCTTTGTGAAAAGTTAATCAGAGAAATGGGAAGAAAGATTCTAAGAAAATGCGAAATTGATGACTCTGTAAATAATTGGCAACATCTTTTATCAACTGTAGTAAGGTAATGACAAATGTTTTCATAATTTTCAAGATTGTGACTTTATCGAAAGTTCCTGAGCCTTTTTTCATAGAAATTATAAATATTCAGTCATTTACCATTAAATATTCCTGAGAACAGTATTTATACATTGCCAGGGCAGTCGCTCATACAAAACTTTACCATGTCCTTTATAGGTAAACAAAAGATCTACTTACAACTTTTCTATTTATACTTTTTTCACATAACCTAAAAATATATGTGAAAAATCAAAATAAACGACTATTTGGTTTTTTAATTATTATCCCCCACAAAGAAATTTTTCTTCTCACGATATTTGGTGAAAACTTACCTAGGTACTTATGTCCCAAACACGCTATAATTTTTTATTTATATTATTTTGATTATTTTTCCAATTAAGTATATTATTGAGAAAAAAAGAACCGGCTCAGCTTTCCATTATATGTAATTGAGTTGCAAGCTAAAATTTTTGTCACGCAAAGTATTAACTATTAAAAACTACTACTATTGTCAAAATGTGACAATTTACCGCCATTAATGAGATCTGTCAGATTTAACCGATTTAATGAATTTTTAGGTTAGGTAAAAAAAAACTGCATTTCCGCCAAAAATCTTTTATGGCGGGGGGGTCGGGGGGAGTCTCCCTCCCCCTCCCCTACAAAGTACCCCGAAATTCAATTACATATAATGGAATTAAGTACCAAAGAACCTTATTTTCAATCGAAAAATCTCCCGTCAAAAAGTTGATTTTTATATAAAGGTGTGTTTTTTGTTCTTTGGAACCTGGAACCTCTTCTCTCTGATGGTTTACAAAACACATATGTACATTTAAAGGACAACTTTTTCAGAAAATGCAAATGCGTTTGATCTGTATTATGAAGGCTTTATGAAGGGCGGAAATGAGTTTATCGCGAATAAGTGATCAAATAATCTACAACTTTTGTACTTATTCACTCCTTTTTCATCTTTTTCATATAACCTAAAGATTTGCAATAAGTATGTGTGAGAAATCACGCAAAAAAAAAAAACGTACGCATTTTGCCAAAATTACTATTACGGCGCTGTACTGAGACTTATCTAAAATATATATAAGAAGGACTTGAGTGACTAACAGACTGACAATCAACATCTGCTCTGCGTGCAGTCCAAACCGTTGGGTCTAGAGACTTCGAAGGAGGAATTTAATTTTGGGCCAAATCTATGTACACATTGCTATAAAATCCAGAAAAATAATAATGATTAGTTTCTTTAAGTAATTTATTGGTACAATGAAGAACAATGCGGCGATTTGCCGATGTCTTTATTAAGTCTGTGGTAAAATTATGTCTGAGAATTAAGCACGGAATACAAGCAATGCATTTTGTTTCATCTATCTAAGGACATAACCTTGCAGCCGGCTGTAGGGTATCCATGAGGATTTTACACCTCCCACGCTCCTGCGCCTGGGAGGAAACAAAAAAAATCGGCGTTTTAAAAAAATAATAATAATATCGAATTGATTTTGAGTTGGAGACGCAGATTGATTTTGATTTAGGTATTTTAGTTGAGATAATAATTTGGTTTTTCTAATTTCCGATATAGAAAATAATCAAATCATATCACAACATCCTTATTGCTAATATAGGCTACAAAGTTGTTACACAGATAAATAATGACTCCTTCTCAAATATATTGTGGTAAATACAGGCCACTACGGAATTCTACAGTGCGCGTGGCACGACACGTTCTTGGCCGGTTTTTTTTCTATAATAAAAAAATCTGTTTTGTCATGATTTGGAATTTGATATGTTTTGTGTTTAACTTGACTCTAAGGTAGTCAATGTTACGTACCTGTACTTCTAGGACATTTGTAGTCCCGCGTAGGAGGTAGTCCATTGGAGGTGCACAAGCAATAGTAGTCTGTGTTATTGAAGGGCATACAAGCCACCTCTTCGATACCGAATAAGCATGACTGAGGTCCACAGCTCCCTTTATATAAAGGACCTGAAAAAATAATAAAGAAATACCTCAGAGAAAAATGACAAAAGATAAGTGAATAATACAATTTAACAGTACAGTTTAATTCCACTTATAATAATATAATAAAATATCCATCTAGTCACCTTAAGATGAATATTGTTTTAGATTTCTACTACTATATTTAGCGGCCGTCCGCGACATAATCTACATTAACTTGAGCTTTGTGAGAATCCTTCATTTTTCCGGTATAAATGTATCCTGAGGAGCTCGATGGCGCAGGTGGTTAGCGCGTTCGGCTGCGATCGTTGAAAATAAGCAACTTTCGCAGTGGTCGGTCATTGAAGGGGTGACCAAAAATCATCTATCTCGAATTCCTCCGTGCTTTGGAAGGCACATTAAGTCGTTGGTCCCGGCTGCATCTGCAGTCGTTAGTGCCAATCCGTACTGGGCCCGCGTGGTGGGCCTTGGGCCATGACCCAATCTCCCTATTCCATCCATAGGGAAGGCCTGTGCCCCAGCAGTGGGGACATTAATAGGCTGATGATGAAATGTATCCTGTATCCAGGTATTTAAAACTATATGCGTACCAAATTTAATTTAAATCAGTAATCTCTTCAGTAGTTTTTGCTGTTATTGAGTAATAATAAACTTACGAGCTTTCACATTTATAATATTCGTATGATTAGCGGTTTTATATATCCTTTCTATTATTAAACTCTGTACAAAAAGTCATTACTTAAAAATAGTCGGTTATTTACTTATTTTTTTTTACCAAAATACAGTAAATGGCGGACTAGTCGAAGTAGTCGGAGTTCGATGCTTACCTGTGTGTCTAGCTTCTTCTCTCGTATATCTAGCAAGTTTTGCTGCACTGTCTCGTAACTTCTGAAACAAAAAGACAAACAATCCTTTTAAAACTCTCTTTAACATACATATTTATTCAATTGTTATTCAGTGCCTACTATCCTATTTTGAATATCAGTTTAAACACTGTAAGAAGTTAATTTCTTTTGTTTAGATCTTAGCAAACAAACAGTAACAAACGCATTCCAACATGAACTTTGGTATCTACAGCGTAGATTTACCTGACCGTCATACTAATCAGCTAAGGCGACTCATTAACAGCAAATTAGAATATCCATTACATTTTCATAATGAATAGGGTCATAACCTTCTGTGAAGGGAGATTACGTATGGGTAAGATACCCAGGGCAACATAACAGGGATGATGACGGGGTAAAGTAAACGAAATTTTATTTAGTCGGTCAGATTTCGATGCGCCCTTGTAAAAACAAAGAGGCATCAAAATATGACTTAAATTAGTGTAGTAGAAGTACCCCTACATAAGTACCACAACAGTGTCGGTATTGGTTCCTGGACGAATTCCCATACAAATTTGCCCAGTCCCCTTTATGTTTCCGATTTGATAAACAATCAATATCAGCAATTCCGTAACAAATTGATAAAGAGCGTGCCCTCACTTTCAAGGACTTTCCTGAATTTGAAAAGCATATTTAGAAAATATAGTGAGTTCGTGCAGACCCGCCTACAATTGAATGGCATCATCGTCGAAAAATCGTCAGCCAAAAACAATTCCATCGAAAAACATCTTTAAACAGCGAAGTTGTAAAGCACGCACAATTTGAATAATGATATGCTTGCGTATGAATAAAACGTACATAATACGGCCTTTAGTCTTCTAAGTGGTTTATAATAATAAAATACATCACACAAACGATAAATAATAATAAACGATAAAAATAAGACGATTGGGCAGCCACTTTATCTGTGGAACGTTTGAGATGCCTCGATGAACGTGCGTCTATTTTGGCCACGTTATCGTTGAGTGGCCGCACTCGCCGTGGCCTGGGGTTACGATATAAATCAATAATATCACTGTACATAAGTGAATTATTTATATAAATTCACTGTTAATGATTATCAATGGTTATAATTGACGAACGGAATCTCCTAATTGGGCAGTTGCTGGGCCCCTAAAAAGGTTCCTAAGAAAAGGAAAGGAAAAGTTGATATTTTATTAGATAGATAGACAATACTTTATTGAACACACCACATTATAAAGTACAAAGTTTGGACATTAATTTAAATAGGTGGACAAATGGCGGTCTTATGGCTATGTAGCCATTTCTTCCAGACAACCATAGGATGGAGAGACGGATTTTAATTAAAGAGGGTGTGCAAAATTACAAGACTAAAATAAAAATTAAAAAAAAAGAAAATAAAATCTAACCATAATTAAAATTACTGTTCATATTAAATAATAGAAACTGATAAAAATTCAAATAAGCAAACAAGAACATACATCGGTACATAAAATAAAATACACATTTTTAATACTTAATAATAATCATATGATGCAAGCAAGAACAGGGAGAATGCATGGGAACACGATCAATTATTGTAAAAGGAAAAAATCCTTTATCTCACTTTTAAACTTTCCTATAGTCTGTGCACGTCTAATCTCAACAGGAAGAGAGTTCCAGAGGCGCACAGCTTCAACACAAAAAGAATATTTATAGAAGGAGGTATTGTGTACAGGAGTTTTAAGGCTCAGATTCTCTGATGAGCGTAACGTCTGGGCATGGGAACTCTGGGGAAAACTGAAAAGTTCTTTGAGATAATTGGGGTAATAGGGATTAAACAAAACATTGTAAAGAAGGGAAAGTATATGAGTATTATCATATTTAAGAAAATATCATAGTTGCGTAACAAATTGAAATTGAGTCAAGATTAAAATTTGAGAGTATGATTTACAATAAATGGTATACATTTCATTCTTAAATAAGTATATCATATCTCAAGATTGTAATACCTGCATCTCTATTAAGTACCTTTATACCTATAGTCCGAGATCCCGCCGCTGGATTCTGTAGGTACTTATTTGTTTTAATGAAACTTGATTTAAAGTGAGTTAGTATAAAATGCATTAGTGACGGGTTGCCTAAAAATAAAATAAAAATACCTTTAATCACATTTAATTTTAGTGACAGCCATTTATTTATGTAAATTGCATCCTTTTGTTTTTTTTTAATAAATTTTACAACTATGTGCAGAATTAAAAAAATGATAGTTGCCAGCTCTCAAATAATCAACATTAATGTACCAGTTTACACCTGGCAACCCTAAAGTTACGGCTGATTGAGAGAAAATATTCGTTTAAACTTTGCTCACACTAATCGAATACAATGTTTCATAAATATAATGTAAACGATACTTAGATGTTTTGCTTTTATAGTTCCATTTATTCCATTACGAACACGATAATATGGATTTACGATCGAATATTCCGCAAGGCGTGTAACAATATCCATATTCTCAGAGCTTTGATTCTTAGGCATTGCACAATGAATGGGCTTTCGAGTAACGGGTATCGTGCATGGACAGCGAGTGTATCTTTGTGGTGAAATGTGATAGATGCAGCCTCAGTCACCACAATGCTGCCTCCGGAGACAACTCGAGATTTTATACCCGATAACTTATTCGATACCTGCTTAATAATATGTTAACGTTTGGTTTCTAACAATAAAATCGAGTGCTATAAAATGATTATCATTAGATAAAGTTAAATTCTGATTCGAACTTAAGTGACTTAGGAAATTATATTTTAATTATTAATTGAATAACGGTCATTCCCAAGTTTTTTTTGTTCTTTATTAATTAAGAGGTTTTTATTCTACGAATATGCCAGCCTCATCGTACCCTAACGCTACCCTCCCTCCTACTATTTTTTTAAATACTATAAATAAGAAAAATGTAGATTCTTTAGCCTTAAGATTATCCAATTAGAGGAGCTCGGTGGCGCAAGTGGTTAGCGCGTTCGGCTGCGATCGTTGACGTTAAGTAACTTTCGCAGTGGTTGGTCATTGGATGGGTGACCAAAAATTTACTATCTCGAGCTCCTCCGTGCTTCGGAAGGCACGTTAAGTCTTTGGTCCCGGCTGCATCTGCAGTCGTTAGCACCCGCCAATCCGCACTGGGCCCGCGTGGTGGGTCATGGCCCAATCTCCCTATTCCATCCATAGGGAAGGCCTGTGCCCCAGCAGTGGGGACAATAATAGGCTGATAATGAAGCTTATCCAATTCCTAACTTATTGTTTTTGTGTGTTAAAAACACACAAAAATAAACGGGTTCGCCTTGTAAACAGTTATCTCAAAATGAAATCCAATACTTTGAAAGATTTACATTGTCGCTGTTTAAACCGAACAAAGAAAATCCCTTTTGCCATGACGGAAACAACTGAACTTTAAGGATATTGTTAAGGTTTTATATTTCAATTTATTGCAGAAATGAAAAATTCAGGCTCATTTATTACGATATAATAGTAACTCAGAATAAAATGTTTACTTACATAAACACACACACACCCACACAGAACACACACAAATATGACAGAAACACGCATTTCATTTTTATTTTAATGTAAAATTGAGATTAAGATTAAAATTATTGTAGCACTAGAGGTCGCCTGCGACTTCGTCTGCCTTAACTTAGTTTCTCGAAAATACTTCTGGAACCTAACATTTTTTTCGGGATAAAAGTAGCCTATGTGTTAATCTAGGGTGTCAGCTAACTCCATAACAAATTTTATTAAAATCGCTCCAGCCTTTATAATATTAGTGTGATAAATTGTTTTATGAAGGTGAATAATAGCTGCAACACAGTTAATTACTAATGAAGTTATTACTGATAACTATTGTCGTTGTATCTTTTTAGTATGAATAAATATTTCATTAATTTAATAAATAAATATAAGCTTTAAAGTGAATCTTTTATTTCACAAACTTTTTCATCCTTAGCATGTCCCATTTCATTTGTAATTGATATTAAAAAAATGAGCTGGAAGGACTTTTTTATTAACGATTTTAAAGTTATTTGTATCGTGCTTACATAAAACCTCACATTTTTTGTTATATTTTTTTTAGTATTACTTTGCTACATTACTATCTATAACTAAATAAGATTTTGGTAGAAAACAGTTATTAGTTAGACTATAGTCTACCCTAATTGTTTTTTTTTTCATTATATACGAGTATAATGATTCGCTCTTTTTAAGGGGGATTCTTCATTTGTTTGTCTGTAGTAAATTAATTTTTAGTTTTCGATTATATGTGGTTCTACAATGCTGTTAAATAAGAAGACTTTAAACAGCTTAATATGTATTAAAATTACAACAGAAAAAGTTTCAAATGTATAGAGATTGGCCCTCAGGCATATCAGTGATTGCTGGCCCTCTGTTTATTTTTTAATTATTATATTATATTAAACTTAATATAAGATACATAGATATGTAGAATGGCCTGTGCAGACGATGGACTTTGTCCGCGGAGGATAAAAGTCCCTCAAGCTTGAAAAAAATGTCCACCGAGGCCTTGTCAAGTCCTAGTAGATTATTATACTCGTAGGTATCGAATAAGTTATAGGGTTATCACCGGAGGCAGTATTATGGTGGCTGGGGCCGCACTTCACTGCAAAGATACACTCGATGATAGAAACACAACACCTCCAAAAGGTAGTGGTGTTATTTTTCTGTTTGAAGTATATCCAAATCATTTTCTAATTGAGGAAAGGGCTCTTACTTTCAGAGCTTTTATTACTTTAAACATGGTGCCATTTTGCTTAAGTGGTATTTCCACAGTAACTTTAGATAATGCTGCAGCAATCAAGCAGTCTGCGGGATTCTCAACTCTTCAGTAACTAAGAACAGATATAGCGCGTTGCGTTAAGATTTTATCCCAAGAATGTTCTAAATGAATAGATGATGATTGAAGACACTTCCACAATAAAAAGCCGCGCTGTTTTCTCCCGAAGTGACTAAATATCTCCGTGAATTTGTGCCTCTTGAAATTTCAATCGGTGAGATCCA